GATATTAATGGTATCAGGAAAGGAATTGCTATTAATATTTCAACAGGCGATGGAGCTATCAAAAAGCAATGCATTAACGAAAAGAACTGTACAGGTACAGTATTTTATGATGAAAAAAAAAAACAAACAGTTGCAATTTTATCAAATCTTTTCAACTTCTACCGTATTTTGACGTGCAATACGTGAAAATGACGTCTTAAGAGTTTAAAAAAAACTTTAGACTTTTAGTATTTTTCAGTTACTCTCAACAGACATCTTTTGTACAAAATGATCAAACTATAATTTCCAATATTTTTTTCTAATCACTAACTGATAGAACGTAAGAAATGACCAGTAATAATTAAGTACGATATTACATTTTGATGGATATCGTATTTTCTGATATTGTTGTGATATCATATTACATTTTGATGGATATCGTATTTTCTGATATTGTTGTGATATCGTATTTTATCATGCAAACGATGATATCCTTTCAAACTTCTTTTTCTTTTTTGGTAAAGTGATGTAAGTTATAAAAATGATAGAATGTAGAATTGCTCATTAACATAATTTAGTAGTGATAATGATAGCATTGATTGGATGTATGCCAACAAATGAAGTAAATCGAATTCATAAATGAATTTATTGACCGGATTAGTAATTCATCATTTTCCGGATTTGATTTGAACACTTTTTGATTAAGCACTGATTGCATACTACGCAATCATATTAGATTAGAAATGTATATTTCAATTGCATTATACATCATCCGGTTTTTCGAATACAATAATTTGAATTCTTGAATTCATACAACGAAATTATTAAAGGAATGAAATGATCAAACAATTAATATATTAAATTAAATACTTGAATATCTTTATTTATTCATTAACAAATGGATAAAAAACCGTAAGCTCATCATTGATTACTTTTCAAATGAACGGAAAAACGTTTTCAAAAAAACCGGTATTACATTACTTCAATGAAATATCATTGGTTAATTGATAATATCAGTAGTGATTTTAAATATGTTAAATTCATTATTTTTTCAAATGCACAGAATGATTAATTTTTACTAGAAATGTTTAAGTTTTAAGTTTTTATAGTTGATATTATAGTAAAATAGTAAATACTAGCAAATATGTTCGAAAACTTCTAATCAATTAAAAGGAAAGTAAAGAAATCGGAAGAGTTTATAAATATATTTCAGGTTAATTACCGGAAAATTTTCATGATTTTAACTTTTCTACAGCAAAAAAAAAAAAAAAAAAAAAAAAAAACTGAATATTTGTGATTGAAAATGGATAAATAAATCGATCATCATATAAATTGTTTATTTCAACAAATGATATAAATTAATACAATTTTTGAACTAGTATAAGTGCATAATTAATAATTAATACAATAACTAATGGAATTAATATCAATAATTAAATACCAGATTTCCGGGATGTCATTGCTATCCCTAAAATCAATTGTTTCTATATTTTTGAATATTTACGGATTAAAACTGAAATATTTGACAGTAGATGATATTATGGTTAATTCATTTTCATCACTTTATCTTTTCACATTTCATGTTTTTACACTCTTATTGGATCCATAAATCAATCTTGTCACTGTTAGTATTACGGTATTTTAAATACGATATCACGATGATATGGAATTATAAATACGGTATTATAATTACAATATCACAATTATGATATTATGATTACGGTATGCTCATGGTATTACAACTATTTTGGAACATTAATAAATGGTTTACGGTTTCAGCGGTTTCATGTCAATCTGATGAATATTTTTGTCAAATTGACAATTTTTGCTTGCCTCAAAGCGTCATCTGTAACGGAAAGCGTGATTGCACCGATATGGCTGATGAAGTAAACTGTAACACCGTATCACATCATATTAACAAGAAATTGAAATGGTCAACAGCTCAACTGACCGTTAAATGTCCGGACGGTTCAATACCAGAATTTAGCTTGTAAATTATTTTTTAAATAATATTAATCTTATCAGTTGATATTATTCATTTCTAAGTCATATTCAGCTGTTAATAATTATTTCATTTTCATTTTTCGTTTTTCTGATACAAAAATTTTTGCAAAAGGAATTTAATTTTATTCGATATAATTCAAAAATCATTTTGAAACAATTTAAATTGAATTTTAAAATATCATTTTGATGAATTTTATATGTCATAAAATTTTATTAGCATATAGACAAAATATCAAACAATTGATTTAAACAAATATTTTTTCAACCATTCATTCGTTAATGAAAAATATTGCACTAATTAATTTCTAATAAGCTTGGTTTTTTTTTTTCGAATTTTTCAAGTATCAAATTTGCTATATTATAGAGTGTTTACTCATTTTAATATTGAAATTTAATTCATTGCATCAACTAATTAATCCATTTAGGCTTTGATTAATTTCTTATCTCTCATTTTTTCTCATTTTCTCCAATTTAATTTTTCAATCTGTTGGAAAAAAAAGACTTAATTTCAGATTATCTTTTAAATAAAACTTTGTTTTTTTTTTTTTGTTAAACACAGTGTCTTTTGACAATTTCCAGCTTTCCAATTCTCATCTAATTCTATTGACAGAACAGATTACTTTTGTCAATTTCAATGATAAATTTTCTTTTTTTTTTTCTCTCTCAAAAGCTTTTATGTCAACTATTCTTAAAAATGAAAATGAAAAAAAAAAAACTTTCTCAACTATTAATAATTGTTTTTTTTTTCAAAGGGACAATTATAATTTAGCAATTTTTTTTTTTCACCAAATTCTATTTCAATTTTTTCTTCATTTCAACTAGATTACTACATTAATTAAGTTTTGACAAACTTGGGTTCTTTTCTTTTTTCGATTTTTCATTTTTCAAATTTATCATATTTTAAATTTTATTCGTTTTATGATAGCATCCTATTTATATCAATTAAAAATTAGCATATGATAACTTGTTTTTCATATCATTATGATAACTTGTTTTTCATATCATTATGATAACTTGTTATTCTTATCAATTAAAAACTTAATTATAAAAATTTCGAAAATTGATCCAGGCATGGTTCAACATATTGTTGGAGTAATTCAGTTTGCCCATCACATACAACATGTATCGAAGGAAAATGTTGCAAAACTGATTGTAAGTTTGTCGTTTTTTTCTTTAAATTAAAAATTTTAAATTCAAATTGAAATGATTTCAAAAATGAGTGAAATTGAAATTGACGATAAAAATAGATAATTGAAAAGAATGACTAATAATTTTCTTTTTTTTGTCAGTATTTATTAATAATAGAATTTTATATTTAATTAGCACATTTAATTACTTCAATTAGTATTAGTTATTTTTCAATTAATTAGTTCATGATAGGTGAAGATGATGAAATACATTGATAATAATGTATATTTACTTTCAATCAATAATTAAATAATTTATTCAAATTTGCAACCAAAAATAGTTTAATCATTATTTCAAGCAATAAATATTAGAAAACAATGTATTTTTCTTAAATTAGTAACAATGAAAGTAATTACGAAATTATAATTATTATTGTTAGTAGTAGATATTAATTATTTATGAATAATTGATAAGTTAGTTAAGAAATGCAAAAGTGATAACAACAATTGTGATAACAAACAAATACAATTCCTAAATAGAAAAATGATCGTTATCAATGGCTCAAATTATTGTTTGCTTAGGAAGCTACTAATGTTAACACACGTACGTTCACGTACGTTTTGTATAAAGTTATGAATGCAATAAATGAATTTTTTACGTGTGTTTTAAGTGTATTAAAAAAGTTTCAGTTTCATATAATATCCGTCAATGTCCGGAAACATATTGGGAATGCGGTAGCGGTGAATGCGTTCCGTTGGAAACACGTTGTGACGGATTGCAAGCATGTAATGATGGATCAGATGAAATGCATTGCGGTTTAAATTTTTACTTTTTTTTTTCCAAAATTTGCATAAAGCTCTTTTTGCACTAAGTTTTTTTTTTTCTTAAATCATCTTAGATATCACTCGATAAAATACCATTAATTTTATATGTCATCAACAACGAATTCATTATTTTAATTATCATTGCGTAAAATTCAGTTATAAGATTTAATTATTACAACGCTTACTTTATCATTAATGAAATTTAATTATAAAATTGAACGGTTTTAATAGTCATCATTTCACTAGTGAAATTTAATTATACAATTCAATTATTTTAATACTTACTTTATCATTAGTTAAATTTAATTATAAGATTCAATTAATTTAATACTTATCTCATATGTTGTCAGTAAAATTGAAATATTTTAATTGCTCACTTTGCATATTATCGATAGGACTTAATTATGATATTAGTTTTATGGAAAAATTTGATTTTTTTTTTCGCCATACGAACCATTTATTTGCATTAATTAATGCAAAATTTAAAATTCAAAGATGAAGAATTAGAATGAAAATGAAATTTTAAATTATCAAACATTTGCAAACATTTATACTTTTGACAATTGTAACATTTTATTAAAAATTATAAATGAATCGAAATTTTTTTATGAATAATTCAATGATCAAACATCACTTTTTTTTTTATTTCAAAAATTTTATTGAATTTAGCTTACATATTCTATAATTTAGATTTTATCAAAATTCATTTTCAAATAATTGTCAAAAATGATTTTACAGCTAATTATATTTTCCTAATATTTATAAAAATATACTATTTTGCTATGATGGCTCAATAGAATAATTTATGTTAGCTTGCATTAATGAATTAATTAAGATTATTGCTAAATCTAATTTATTGCATTTTTTTTTCTCAAATTTTATGGTACAGTCATATTTTTACAAAATATTCATTATCATCTGTGAATTAAAATCAACAAAATGCTAAAAAAAAGTTGTTTTTTTGAAATGAAAAATTGAATTTTAATTTATATTTCAAATTTTTGATATTATAAAAAGGAATAAAAAGGAAAAAAAAA